AAACCCAACAATGAAACAACAAACTTCCCAGCAGACCAACTGAAAAGAATCTTGTAGTTTCAAGTGAGATTTTACAAACACTGCAATCTGCGTGTATTTATCTACTTTAAAAGAGCGAATTGAATAATTCAGGGGCTCCTTAGAAAAAGAAAAAAAAAGGCATCACAGAATTTGAGCAGAGAGCCAATGAGAGAAATAGAGATGGGAAGGGGTGAATTCCTGCTAAAGAAATGTACAGAAACAACAAAGAAGAAGACCAGAGGAAAAAAAAAAAGAAAAACCCAGGGAAGGATATATAAAGAATAGAGACTTATTTAAGATGAATTTTTGACCTTATTTTAAAACATTTATGGATCCCAATTGCCTGTCATGAGATCACTTTTTCTCACAATATTGGCTTTTAAGCCTGCCGGGTACTTTAACTTGATTTATTCTATTTTTTAAAAAGTACATTGTGAGATAATTCCTTCCTCTTTCCCTTCCCCAGCCAGGATATCAGAAATTCTGTTGTGTTATGGTGTCAGCAAAAGGACAGGTGAGAGTCATCTCAATCAGACCTCGGGAGCTTTCAGACAAAAGTCAGTGCCCATTCCTAGGCCCACGGAGATGGCAGTGGGCGGTGCCTGCTCAAAAAAAGGTGTATTTTTATGATCTTTATTTATCAGATAACTTGGAAGGTTTAGTATTCTTCAGAAGTGACCATACTTGGCTCCCAAAGTCCTGCCTTATTGGAAGGATTTGACTGACAGGAATGAAATGTGAATTCTCATATCCTTTGCGCGCCCCCCCCCCGCCTCCCCCCCAGGCCTCTGCAAGAGGCACAAGCAGGGCATTGGCAGACCCTGAGGGTTGCACCATTGTGGTCAAGTTTCCCAGGCTTGTTTTTTTATTCTTGGGCAGAAGGTAAGAATGCTTTTATTTGGCTTGGGAAGAGGAGGGGGGAAAGAGAGCCTGTGATTTCAAAGATGCACATTGGAAAACCTCCAGCACAATGAACACTCCTCTTCTTTTATGACAGTGTTCTTTCTGGTGTGAGGATGCAAGGTCTTAGAATCCAGCTGGCCAAGCAAACTTATTTTCCCTGAAACGGAAACAGTGGTCACTCTTGGCAAAGTTCAAAGTGCTCAAAGCATGGGAAACACACACACACACACACACACACACACACACACACACACACACACGGCCTTTTCTTTATCCATTACTTTGTTTGTCCTCTTACACACTCATCAATCAGCCAATCAACAAATATTTTTTTTTCCACACTGGGCTCCGTTGCTACAAAGACAAAAACCTACTCTCAAGGAGCTTACCTTCTAATATTTATTAATCACTGAATGCCTGGGCTAGGCACTGAGAGAGAAGGATACAAAAGTAAATAGATCACAATCTTTGCTCTCCAGGAAGTAGCTGCATACAACTGAGTGAATAATTGAGGTAAGTTAGAACATGGATAGAGTACTGTAGACTCTGAGTGGGTAAAGTGTTTAAATAGGTGGTGTAGTGGATAGAGTGCTGTTTCTGGAGTCAGGAGGATCTGAATTCAAATGTGACCCTAGACACTTCCTAGCTGTGTGACCTTGGGCAAGCCACTTAACCCTCCTTACCTTAGTTTGCTCATCTGTAAAACAAGCTGGAGAAGAAAATGGCAAACCACTCCAGTATCTTTGCCAAGAAAAGCCCACATGGGGTCACAGAGTCAGACACGACTGAAACAACTAACCACAAGGATTCAAGGTTCAAATTCATCTTTAGACACTGATTTAGCTATATGGCCCTGGGCAGATCACTAAACTCTTTGCAGCCTCAGTTTTCTCATCTGCAAAATGGGTATAATAATATCACCTACCTCACAGGTTGTTAAGATCAAATGAGATAACATGTAAAGATTTGTGAAAGCATTAGAGTGTAACGTAAATGTTAGCTATTAATTAATTGTTGACATGTATTTGTATGAACATGATTCTAAGTAGGATGAAATGGAGGCAAAGTACAATGTCCTCTAAGAAAATCTGAGCCTGGAGAGAAGACTTCTAGCTAGGGAAAATCTGAGAAGGTTCCCTGAAAGAGTTGGTACCTAAAATGTGGAGATGAGCAGGCACTCTATACTTGAGGAGAGCCGGTACAAATGTTGAAAGTGGGAGACGATATGTTCAATTCAGGGAATCACCTTCTGCCTCATGTGCCCTAATTTAAAGCAAGATTAGGCTTGTGTTGTGACAATCTCCCCTCCTCTTCCATGGCAGTGAGGAAGCTGTGATCTAAAGTGAATGTTTACCAGGCTGTGAGAGGACCACCATCCATCACATTCCCACCACCCTAATTTTTCTCTGAAAGGTAACAAAGCTTTCTCTGACACCTAGGCCAAGGCTAAAGCTATGTCTCACTTGATGCAGCTTCTTAGCTACCTATCATCATGGTGATATAGTAGCTTCCTGGCAAGGATAGGCTGGTAAATGTTTAATAACTGGCTTTCTGAAAAGAAAAAAAAGTGTGTATGACACACTTTAAGTTTAACCTGAATTATTAACACTATCCTCATCAATTTCTTAAGTCTGAACAATCAATAAAATAATAAATCAAGCCCTGATGTGTAGCATTCGCTGATTTCTGAGGTATCAATGCTCACACTGAAAATTTAACAATTGGCTCTCCTAAGTTTATGAGCTGGTCCCAACTCAACCATGCTTTCTGGTTACTTAAGTCATGAAAAAAGCTCCACAAAGATCGGGGCCCTTCAGACTTGTTAGATGTCCCGAGACCACTTGAGCTGACACTGGTAAGGCAAGAGGAGTGCACTGTGTACCCAAGCTAAATATTTCAGTGTCCTTGTTGAATATCTTTTCTATGCTATACCTAAGTAAGCCTCCTTTGCATAGCCAAATCGTCTATGAATGTATCATCTTGTTTCAACAGCTAACCTAAACTTAAAGCTTGAGTCAGGCCTGTCCCTTACCTATGCCTTTCTATGAAAAGTTGATGAAAGACCATCAAGAGCCTAAGTGTTCTTTATTCTGAAAAATTAAACCTGTTCAATTCTGACATCTTTTATAATAAAATTAATATCAACTATGATTTATTTGAAAGTGCCAAGCCCTTTTCTAGCCACCTGGGATCAGATCACTGGTCCTTAGTAGGATCTACTGATTTAATGGTAAGAGCTATTTAATCCATCATTGAAAGACGCCCATCCAGTCAATGAATTTACTTTGGATAACTATCATGGGGTCAAAATTAATCTTCTATAAAGCAAACCTCAAGCATTTTGATTTAAAGATGTTAGTACAGCATAAATATAAAAATTAAAGGAAAGCATGTGGGTCATTGGGCTCAATTTCTCTCTCAAGTATGGACTGGACTGGACTGGCTGGTGGCCTCCAAGGCCCCTTCTAGGTCTGAGGGTCTGTGATTTTGATTCTGTTCTCAAGAATCCACCTCCATGCTTTTGTTTATATAATTCCCTATGCCTGTTCCCTTTGTTTGCTGTGGAATCCCTACCATCCTATAAAGCTATCTTTTTTTTCCCACTTCTTAGTGAGGATGGCTTATTTGCATTATCTATTCATGCTTGCCCCAAGCCCTGTGACCTAAGAGGTGGAAGGCAAAGAAGTACTTCCAACAGGTAGTGAATAATTTCCTTATATTCCTAAAGTCGCAGAGAAATGCCATCTTGAAGCCACCGTGAAGCTCTCTTTAATCACTGCCCATTGGTAATGACTTTCATCTTTTGATATCAAAAACACTGTTTTTAAACTCTCTAAGGTGCTTATCAAGTAATATTGCATATTGTAGCTGACTATGTTTGTATCTAATCCTCATTCTTATCCAGATTGTAAACTCAATAATGATGGCTGGGATTGTGATTTATCTAAAGTTTGTATTTCCTCTACTACTTAAGAACATCGGTTTCTTTTCAGTTTGTTTATTACTAAATGAGAGGTGAAAACATTTCCTTTGTTTCTCCCTCCTTGCCCAATAGAATTAGCTCCTCTGAAGCTGGTGTTTTGGGGCTCACCAATCATATCACACCAGCGAATACCAGTGCCTTGTAATTAAAAACAACACAGGAAACTTTGGGGTTGGAGGAGGAAAAGAGGGGATTTTGGAAGAAGTGGGGTGCTGGTGGTATTACGAACAGAGACTTGATGATTAAAATATTGTCATCTTTGCTCCCCTTGCTCACATGGGGTGAAGTCTGTTGGGATGCCCAATGCCATGTTGTACCCTATACCTACACGGAAGGAGAGGAAAAAGACAGGAGAGGTATCCTTGTCACTTCATATAACTAAACCTATGGCAGACATCCTTCTAGAATTTTATGATAAATCTTTCTGTCCCCTGAAGGATAAAGGATTTGAAATGACAAGACATAGAAAGTTCCCTCTAATTGAAAATATTGCTTACTTCTAAACAAAGGCTCTTGCAATATACTGGGGCAATCATCAGTGTGAATTGTTCAAAAGTCAATATACAATCTCAATATATAATACTGGCATAACGATGACGCCTGTTTTTGAAAAGCACACTCCTGACATTAGTTTCTGATGGTTCACTTCTAACAATCATTTATCTTTTTTTTTTTTTGCTGTATAGGATGGTTTATTTGCATTATCTATTTGTGCTTAACTAAAGCCCTGTGACCCAAGAGATGGAAAGCAAAGACTTACATCCAATAGGTAGTGGCTAATTTCCTTGTATTGTAAAGTAGAGGAGATACCCTCTACCCATATCTACAAGCATACATGTTCAATGCTGGTGGCAACAGGCTAAATATGACAGCAATTAGAAGGAGCTACTGTAGATTAGTGTGGTTTGATGTATGCAAACAATTTCCATGAGAAGGCAGGGGTGTTGTCTGCAGAATATCCATGTCTATGAAATCTAAGTCTCTAAGCTAACTCGATACAACTGGAGACTGGAAAATTCCTTGAAGAGTACAATGCCTTTGCAACTTTTATATTAAAAAAGACTTCAGTAATTAGGACCAGGCAGAAACTTACCCAATGCTGCTCATAATCAGAAGGCCTTGCTCTCACTTCATCATCTTCATATAAAGAAAAGCCTTCTCGTCTGGCCTGATGATATTCCTTCCGTAACTTCTGGATTCGGTCAGCACATCCAGTTGTGGGGCGGCCACTGGAAAATAAATGATCACATGGAAAGATGCTAACACAAATTCATAACACTCTTGAAGACTTGGTTTTTGATCTACTTATCAAAAGGGTTTACAATTTTAGAGGGATGGACCTATGTGAATTTGGAAGGCCTCACAATGCAATTCAAGCTAGCCAGAGAAACTACAAAAAACAGAAAAAATAGAATTAAATTAAAAATAGAAAAAAACAGACTAACAAATTATATATACTTCTTGAGTGGGATATTCAGTTAAGGCCCTGCCCTCTTATGGGGATTAGAATATTCAATGTATTTTCTTATGATCAGATAACTGTAAAGTTTGAATACATTTTACTTTGCACAATTATCTCATTTTTCCAAATAAGAGTCCCTGTGGATCTATTAAGGTATGTTCTTTTTTTTTTTTTGAGGGGGGGAGAGAAGGTTCAAATCTATGATTTCATTCATCTGGGAAACTATAAGTATTATAATTAATGATATTAATCATAATTAATGTTATATAGCACTTTAAGGTTTACAAAAACACTTTACATGTATTATCTCATTTGATTCCTACTTACCTCCCTGGGAGGTAGGTGTCCTGTTTTACAGATGAGGAAACTGAGGCAGAAGGTGTTTAAGTGTCTTGCTCAGGGGTCACAAAGCTGACAAATATCTGAAGCTGGATTCAAACTTAGATTTTCTTTACTCCAGGTCCAGTGCTCTATCTTCTATGCCATTTATGTCAGTATTTAGCACAATACTCGGCACATAGTAGGTGCTTAATAAATGTCAGTTGACTAGATCAGTAACCTCCTGCAACTGTTGCTTTTAGAAAGTTACTGGGGGCACTGAGAATGATTTGCCCACGACCACACAGCTTTTGTTGTTGTTGTTCGGTCATTTTCAGTCATGCCCAAGGGTAGGACTTCCTGAATCCAAAGTCGGGCTTCCCTCTGTTAAGTCAAACAGACTCCTCACACAGTCCTTTCTTTTGTTGTCTGGACCTGTGATTTCATCAATGTAGGGAACTCCCAGAAATATACTCTACCTAGGAGTCCCTGAAAGTTGCCTGGTATAGATGGTACATAAAACCAGTACATGTCAGAGCATAACTTGAACTCATATCTTTCTGAATCCGAGGTTTATTTCTAACCCCTACACCACCTTGCCTCTTATTAGTGTTAATTGATTAGTTAGAATTTTCAGTCTAGGGAGTAAAGAGTAAGGTTAAGAAAGGAGATGCGGCACTCACGTGAAGGATGTGAGGCAAGCGGAGAGTAGAAACCATCAGTATTACTACCTGTCCGTATTTTATGTCTCTACACCTCACCCATGCCCTGTCTTCTTCATTTGTCCTGTACTTCACACAGACCCCATCCTACCAAGGGCTTACTAAATTCAGTTCCACCCTGCCTGCTTCTCCGTTTCTCCCTAATGGTTCTCTAAAGACAAAGAGGAAGAATTTATTACAGAAGATGGGGGAGGGGAGTGGTTGCTGGTACAAAGTACAATAAGGCAGGTATGGGAAGGAGAAATTAAAAGGTCATAACAGGCAAAGGTGAGTGAGGGAACAGAATTTCCTTCCTTTAAGGGGTAGATGGGATCATAAAAGGACAAAAAACAAGACTGATGACATCAGAAATAACAAAATTGTACAGGGTGTCCCAAAAGTCTCAGGCCAGTTTTAAGCCATGAAACCTTAAAACTGCACTAAGACTTTTGGGACGCCCAGTATAGCCTGTTCATTAAACACTTTCTTCATTGAAGCCCACTGAGGGAGTCAGTGCTGGTATTCCTATCTTCACTTCACACATGAGGCCACTGGGGAAGCTCTGTGAGATGGCTAAAGTCATATCATCAGTGTCAGAGTAAAGACTGGAACCAGGTGTGCTGACTCCCAAGACCAGTGTTCTACCTCCACATACTGCCTCTCTAGGGTAGTAGAAACAGCTGATAATCAGAAAACCTTGCTTGTATCATCTTGAATAAATCACTTAAACTCTCTGTGCCTCAGGACCCTCACCCATCAAATAAGGTATCTGCACTTCCTACATCATAGTTTGCTCATTAAAAGGAGAGGAGATAATGTATATAAAAATGCTTTGAAACCCTAAAGCACTATTCACCTATTGATATTATTAAGACATGCAAATTTTATATTTGATTGTTTTTAGAAGCCAAGAACTGGAGGCTGGGAATGGCTAAAGAGAAGGTATCTATTAGATTCACTTTTTAAACAACAAATGTCACAGCACGCGCCATTAAAGCCACCAACTTGGTAACATCTTGGTGTTGCCAAGAAGAGATGTAAATCATATCTGTGAATCATAGTGGGTACATAATGGCTACAGATCTTTTGAAAGATGAGCATTCTCTATCTAGAATACAAAGACTTTGAAGAAGGCAGGACCATAGTTTCTATTTTCCAAGCCTTCCCTAAAATAATGAGGGAAGTACTCAGGAAACAGTAGGTCTTTAATGAAAGCTTATTAATTTAGTAGCCCATTATGTCTCTGGTAAAAAGAAAAACCTCTGACATTGCACATCCTTGTTTTTTATTTAGACATGTTAAAAAAAACACACCAAACCTCAAGTGAATAGTTTCCTACTATACTTCACTGCAGTATTTTATTAAAAAACCCCAACAAAATCTTCCCTCAATATTTAAGAAAAAGAAGAAAAAAACCAATATTCCTTTTTTTTTTAACCATAGGCCAACATGAAAAAAAAGCAGTGCTATACTATAAAAGAGCTTCACTCACTCTTGAGTAATGTGAGATGAATTTGATGCCCAATCCAATGCTCATGCAACAGTTCTGAATTTCAACTTGGCTTCTGACAATTACGTGAATATATGAACCACATTCAAACTCACCAGATGAATTCAATCAACGCTGTGCAAATATCGCATACATAATCTATTAGTTTACCCCAAAGAAACTGAAGCATTGAATTCAAACAGAATGAAGTCATCAGTAATAAAAAAAAAAAAGAAACTGATAAGGCGATATTAAAAAAAAATCCCACAATTTTCCTACATTTGTGGTGAAAAATCATACTTTGCCTGTAAACTATTCTCCCATATGCCTATAAATACATAAATTAAAAAATATGGGTTTGATCAGATTGCAGTTCTCAAGTGCAGGGAACAAGGAAGGAAAACAAATTCAGCTATTTAGGATTCAGAGAATTCCCTATAGCTTGCAAGAACATGACTATTTACCCCAGAAAAGAAGCCTAGACTCAGAGAAGAAAACATGAAAAACCCCAGAAAGTCATAAAACCATCTAAGGACAAAACCCACTATCTCCTTACTCTCTGTTGGCAAGTGGCATCTTTTCTCACATGTCCATATTTTAAAGAAGGTTGTAAGGCCTCATGCATGAGTCTCTAGTGAAAGATTCAACCCAACCCAACCCAGACCCAACAAACATTCTTCTTCTCATCTTTTTATCCTCCCAAGAGTTAGAGTGTGTTAGAATAGATGAAGTAATAAATGGTAAATGTATACGTGTCCTTTTTTGGTTCCTTACTACATATAGCACACTCTAATGTAACATCACACCAATTGAATGATATCAGTCTATCCTTAGTATATATCTTCTGGGTAGAGGTGGGTAAGATTATCTTTGGTGTTCAGTTGTTTTTCAGTCATGTCTGACCCTTCGTGATCCCATTTGGGGTTTTCATGGAAAAGATGGAGTGGTTTGTTATTTCCTTCTCCAGCTCATTTTACAGTTGAGGAAATTGAGGCAAAGAGGGTAAAGTGACTTGGCCAGGGTCACATATCTAGTAAGTGTCTGAGGCTGGATTTGAACTCAGGTCTTCCTGACTCCTGGCCCGGTGCTCTCTCTACCGTGCTACCTAGCAGCCCTTAACATCAACTTAACATCTGAGAAAAGGTGAGAAACACCATGGTACAGGAGAAAGAACGCTGGCTTGGAGCCAGAAGACTTGGGCCTCAGTTTCCTGATCTGTAAAATGAAGGGGTCAAAAATTGACACCTTTTGAGTTCCCTTCCAACTCTAAATTTATGATCCTATTGTGGATGGCACTCTGCTAACTGCATCATAAATTACGCAGACATGGCAGAGACCTGATCTAGGAGTGTATAATCTAAAACCAACACTGTCACCAACAAATACACATATGTATGTATATGCGTGTGCAAGCACATCTCACATAAAGTCGCCCCAAATTATGTCATCTTATAATATTTATAATTGACTAATTAGAATATTTTGGGTAGCTATGTGGTGTAGTGTATAGAGTGCCAGACTTGGAGTCAGGAAAACTCTAATTCCTGAGTTCAAATCTAGCCTCAGACCTTTACTAGCTGTCTGACCCCGGGCAAGTCACTTAACCCCAACTGCCTCACCAGAAAAAATTCACACAGGTAGAAGTGGCCATTTGAATTTGGATTTGAATCTAGGTCCTCTGATTTAAGCATTCTGAGCTTTAGTTTCCATATTTAAAGTGGAGATAATGGACACTTCGCTACCTAACTCCCAGATGTGCTGCATCAAATGAGATGATATACGTGAAAGTGCATCGTGACCATAATGTGTTGCAGAAACAAAAAAACTATGATTATGGTTGATGGTTTGCTATTTTCTTCTTTGAGGGTAGAGGATAATAATTTTCTACCCAGAATTCTGGGCAGATGAGAGAGCCATGCTGGACTGGGGATTGGACCAACTCCAGAGATTCTGAATTGGTCATCAATTACCAGCTGAGAGAATGAGGCCTGGTAAGAAAATTTAGAGAAGAAAGCCCTAACACACAAGTAGCACACAGAAACTGTGCAGCCCCTCCCTTCTCCTCACATCCCCAAAGAACAAAAACTAATGAACATGTATGCAATACTACATACAAATATTCTCCCCCTTGTATATTCCATACCACTCTCCACAATTTTCTTTGAGAAGAAAACCAATGATTACTCTTTCCAATATTCCATTCCTTTTCTTAAAACGTTAAGGCTAAAATTCTGAGTATAATGAAAGAATGATTTCCTT